ACAGGTAATTAATTACCATTGTGATTACTACAAAGAAGTGCAGAGTGCCAGGGGAGTCAGTTACAAGGGAAAGTGCCGGAGAACCAGCAGGAAACCAGGAGGGAGCAGACCAGGAAGAAAATTACAGAGGAGAAGGACTCCAGAGGCAGCACCTGGGCCCAGTGAGTGTCAGCAGCGCTCGGGTCGCGGCACCCACACGGAAGCTGAACAGGTGAGACAGGCAGAGTGGAGAGAGCAATCTCTCCAGGAAGTGAGGAGTGGCCTGATGCAAATGGGTGGCGGCTCTTGAGGCCATCCTTTCTCCCTTTCTTTCCTTCCTTCCTTTCCTTGGTTTATTTTATTTTATTTTATTTTATTTTATTTTATTTTATTCTTTTCTATTTTTTGAGACAGGGTCTCACTCCCGGGCTCAAGTGATCCTCCCACCTCACACCTCAGCCTCCTGCAGTAGCTAGGACTAGAGGCACACACCACCACGCCCAGCTAATTTTTGTAGAAAAGGGGTCTTGCCATGTTGCCCAGGCTGGTCTTGAACTCCTGTGCTCGAGCAGTCCTCCCACCCTGGCCTCTCAAAGTGCTGGGATTATCGGAGTGAGCCACTGTACCTGGCCTTCCCTTGCCTTCTTACTGATCAAAAATATTTATTGAGCATGTCATTCTGAAAACATTAAATTATTATCTTATTTGTCCACTGAGGTAGGAACCATTCCCACTGCTACACAGACAAGGAGGTCAAGGCTCGGTCGAGTCAAATGTCTTGCCTCATCTCAGAGGTCTTGTATGGCTGAGCTGCGGCTTAGACCCGCGTCTGCCTCATTGCTTAGCCACAGGATTCTCTACTGCCCTGTCTTGGTCATAGAAAGGAAGCTTTTTGGCTGGGCACAGTGGCTCATGCCTGTAATCCCAGCACTTTGGGAGCCCAAGGCGGACAGATCACTAGGTCAGGAGTTCGAGACCAGGCTGGCCAATATATGAAACCCCGTCTCTACTAAAAAAATTAGCCAGGCATGGTGGCGGGTGCCTGTAATCCCAGCTACTTGGGAGCCTGAGGCAGGAGAACCGCTTGAACCCGGGAGGCGAAGGTTGCAGTAAGCTGAGATCGCACCTTGCACTCAAGCCTGGATGACAGAGCAAGAGTCTGTCTCAAAACAAACAAACAAACAAAAAAAGCTGAGTCCTTGGGTAATGGATGCCTCAATATCTCAGAAATCACCACTAAAGAACTTACTCGTGTAACTAAACACCACCTGTTCCCCAAAAACCTCTTGAAATTAAAAAAAAAAAAAGGAAGATCTTCAAATCACATTCCTCAGCATCACCATCATCAACCAGATGAAGAGAAGCTCCGAGGAGTAGACCAACTACCTGGTCCGCATCGCAAAGGCAGCAAGTGTCAGGGGGATCTCCAAGGAAGTGCTCTCCCTGACCCAGGAGGAATGCTCACTCTCCTCTACAGAGGCAGCCAGCTGGAAGGGCCCCTGACCTACTGCGATGATCTGGAAGTCAGTAGACATCTTGGGGATGTCTTTGGAGAAAAGGCTCCCCCTGCAACAGTACTGTTCAGGGAGTGAGGCATGTGGAAAGGCCACACTGGTGGGTCCTGGTGAGAGAAGGAATAATGGGGAAACCCCAAATAATTCATATAATCTTTTGTTTAAGGGAGACATGAGTTACGTGTGTGGGCTACAAAGATGCTAACAGGTGCCAACAGTCAACAGGTTTTGCCAAACTCTGAAGACTGCAAGATGGACCAGAGCCAAGTCCTGCAGCCAGACTTCTGGCAGAAAGGGTCCCTAGTGGAGGCCAGCAGGAGAAGTTGGGACCAGTTATAACCTGGCTATGTTGGCTCTCCAAGTGCTCAGGAATCTGGAATCAATGAGAAGTGGAGATTCAGGCTGCATCTGTCCAAGGAGGGGGAGAAGAGAAAAGAATGGGAAGGGAATTAACTTTTATGGCAGACACACACAAGCCAGGCACTTCACATGCTATCTCAATTAACACATGACATGGCAAGGAGCTTGGAGCTGTGTTTTAGCCACGTGCTGTGGAAGAAGAGAAGGCAGAACCCAAGTATTGATAAGCATCTGCCATCACCCTCACATAGGCTGATCCCCATGATGGAAAACCCTCCACCTTTTTTTTTTTTTTTTTGAGAAAGAGTTTCACTCTGTCACCCAGGCTGGAGGGCAATGGCATGATTTCAGCTCACTGCAACCTCCCCCTCTTGGGTTCAAGTGATTCTCCTGCCTCAGCCTCCGGAGTAGCTGAGATTACAGGCGCCCGCCAATACGCCCAGCTAATTTTTGTATATTTAGTAGAGACGGGGTTTCACCATGCTGACCAGGCTGGTCTTGAACTCCTGACCTCAGATGATCTGCCTCAGCCTCCCATAGTGCTGGGATTACAGGTGTGAGCCACTGTGCCCGGCACCCCCTCTCCCTGCCACTTTTTTTTTTTTTTTTAAGAGACAGAGTCTTGCTCTGATGCCCAGGCTGGAGTGCAGTGTGGTGATCACGGCTCACTACAGCCTTGACCTCCAGGGCTCAAGTGATCCTCCACCTCAGCCTCCCAAGAGCTGATAACATAGGCACATGGCACCACACTCAGCTCTTCTGTTTGTTTTATTTTTGGAGAGATGAGGTTTCACTATAGTGCCCAGGCTGGTCTCAAACTCCTGGCCTCAAGTGATTCCTCCGTCTCAACCTCCCAAAGTGCTTGAGATCAGGAATGAGCCACCCCACCTGGCCAGAAAACCCCTTTTTAACTGTGGATTGAAGGGTAGCCCCCAACTTCAACAAAATGTGAATTTGATCATTTCATAAATACTGCTGGGGAAAATGGACAATTGTGGAATAAATTAAGATGAGACTTGTACATCACTCCCTAGACTTCTTGATTTCAAAGGAGCTAATGGGTTAAATCACTTAAAACTGCCACAAAGATTATGGGAAAACAGAAACACATATGCACCTCAACTGTGGAGGAGTGACAGTTTTTTAACTAAAATTAGTAGAGACCATGACAGTCAGCTAAACAACAAGAACAAAAAAAGCAAGGGGCTAGAAAAATATGTAACTGATGGGTTTAGTGACCCAGTTAGGTGGGAGAGTCAATATAAACTATGAGGGAAATATCCAGCATCCAATGGACAGACAGATGGCCAACAGCTTTTGAGACACTTGGCAGAGGAGGGTCAAAAACTCAGGAACATTTTAATCTTTATAGTCCTTAATGACATGCAAATACTGTATCACAGCCAAAAAGACCCTCTTACCGACAAATTTAGCAAAAATCAGTTAAAATGATGAGGCCCAAGGCTGATCAAAAACTCTGGCCCTAAGAATCAGCTTAGTAGTCCCGAGGAAACCCGGCCAGACAAGATATATTTCTGTGTCCTGGCTGCACGCGTATCTCACCCTTGGGGACAGATCTCAAGAAAACAACTGAAGAGCCATAGCAATTCAAGAGCAACTGTCTGCCCAGGTGCCTGCAGTTCTAGGCAGGTTACCTAAAATCCTGTGCTTGAATATTCTATTACTCTAAGAAGGCAGAGAGACAAGGGAATTCATCATAAGTCTGCCATTTATTAGCTGTGTGACTTTGGATAAGTCACTTAACCTCTCTGAGCCTCAGTTCCCTCTTGTATTCAAACAGGAATAAATTGCCACCTCCTTAGGTTGTGTATTAAATGAGGTCATGGCTCTCAAGTGTCTACGCAGTGCCCTGCATGGAGTGTTTGACAAGGGGTAGCTGTTGTTTTGGAGGATGACCACTGGACGGATCCTGGAGAGACAGTTCCTGCTTGCAAAGGATAAAGTAACATCAGGAAGTCTCCGCAGCTTTCTATCCTGAAGAGGAGCTGGTACTTTTGCCTCCCGGTTTATTTTTATTACAAAGCAAGAAAAAGGAAAACAAACGTCTGCCATAACTACTGAGGAGTCCACCAAAATGCAAAGGGAAGCTCTTCAGAGTGCTACACTGGTCCGAAGCTGAGAGGAAAATGCTGGGTGAGGTTCCCACTCCCACCCATCGGTTTGAAGATTGGGGTGTCCCCAAGGGTCTGGAATGCAAATTTTTTGAGGCGTGCTCTGTGACTTGGGTTTTATAATACTGAGTTGGGAATTTTCACCTCCGTTTTGTTTTTGAGACAGGGTCTTGCTCTTTCACCACTGCTATGTACAGTGACAAGACCATGGCTCACCGCAGCCTTGACCTCCCCGACTCAGGCGACCTTCCCACCTCAGCCTCCTCAGTAGCTGAAACTACAGGCACGTGCCACCATGCCTGGCTAATCTTTAAAAATTTAGATGGGGCCTCCCTATGTTGCCCCGGCTGGTCTCAAACTCCTAGGATCAAGTCATCCTCCCGCCTCGGTATCCCAAAGTGCTGGAATCACAGGCGTGAGCCACCTCCGTTGTGTGAGAGAAAACCTGCCCAAGGTCATAAGTCAAAAGACCCCCTGTGGCAGGTCCCCAGAGCCCTGCTACTAACCACTGCATCTAGCTGCCTTCTGCTACCCCGCCAGGAGCGACTCGGGCGCGTCGTACGCGCCCAAAGAGCTGCAGTAGCGAGGATCTTGGAAGGGAGGGCTGGGCTAGGGGGTTGAGAGTCCTGGGTTCCCTCCCACCGGTTCGATTCCGGGAGCCCCTGGGGCGCGCCCCGCGGCGCCGCCCTCCTTCCGCCAGCAGGGGGCGCCGAAGAGAGCGCGGGCGGAAGGCAGAGCCGATGCCGCTCCCGGAGTCGGGACTCCGGGGTCCACACCAAGACTGTCGCTCGCCCGCTCGTCCGCGGCTAGGCTCCGGGACGAGAACCGGGCGGGACGCAGGACCCCCCCAAACCCAGGCGAGAGGCCCACTTGGCAGCGCCACCAACCGGGTTCGCGCCTGCCCGGAAGCGCAGGCGCTCAGGGGGCGGGGCCGGGAAGCGCTTCCGGGGGCGGGGGGCGCGGGCTGGGGCGGCAGCCGGAGCGGCGGGGACGGGCCTGGCGCCGGCGGCGGCGGAGGGGGCGCCGCGGGCGGGCGATGTGAGCGCGGCGCTCTGGGCAGGTGAGGCACGCTGTCCGGGGGCGGCGAGTAGCGGGCTAGGCGCGGGCGGGGCCGGCGGGGTGGGGGGCAGTCCCCGGGCCGCTGTCCGGCTCCCTCTGGGCGCGGCGGGGCGGGCGCCTCCGCTCCTGGTCAGTCCAGCGGGCGGGCGGCCGGCGCGGGCGGGAGCCGAGGCCGGGCGGGGTCCGGAGGCCCGGGCACCTGCTGGGGTCAGGCGCGCGCCCCAGAGGGGCCGACTGTGCTCGGTCCTGGAGTCCGGGCGCCGCTGGCCCGGCCGAGGGTCGCGGTCGGGCAGCTGTGCTGGGCTCCCCAGCCTCCGCCCGAGGCGTCTCGGGATCCCCAGCTTCCGGGCCCCTCGCTCTGGGGGCGCTTGCTTTTGTACGGGGAGGGAGGGCAAATGGTTGAGTTCCCTGGAGAGCCGGCCGGGCCGGGGGTCGGCCCTTCGGGTGGCTGCAGAGGAGCCACTGCCTCACGCCACCGCCTTTCTCCAGGTAAACAGGCTGCGGCGACGGGTTGTGCTTGGCCCCAGACGTCTCCATGGTCACTCGCGCCCAGTTGGTCCTGCCATTGCGGAGGCTGGGCTGGGGCTGACCAGGGGTGTAAACAGTGCTCTTCTAGGCCAAGTGGCTGTGCTTGTAGGGCGACACTAGTCTGGGGGTCTCTGTCCTGAGGCTTTCCGGAAGCCCCTTCCGTGCTGGGACTCAGTTTCCCCATGTGATCATTGAGGATTTCAGTGAACTCTCTAAGAACCCTTCTGGCTCTGTCATTCCATGTATGTCTCAGATTGGAAGGGCTGTCCCTGGTTCAAGATACTGGACAGTTTCGCTGAAGACTTTGTCAGTGTGGACTTTTTAAGCCACTTCCTGCATTTTGTTTCAGACAGGCTTTAAAATGATTTCAAGAAGCGCTTTCTAAACCTCACCTTAATCCTCTTTCATCCCTTGCTTTTGTCCCTAGTAGTAATCACATTCCGCCGAGTTTTTGCATGCAGAATTTTTTGTTGTTTATATTTGCCCATTTTCTCTTTGTTCCCTAGTCCAGGCCCTCTTTGCTTCACATCTGGATTATTGCAACAGCTTCTTAGCTGGTCTCTGACTCCAGAGGTTTCCCCCTCCCCCATCCTTCCTTTATGCTAAAGCCAAACTTACTATAGGAAGTCAAAAAATAGTTGAGTGCTTGCTTGCTTATTAAATGTCAAGATGCTGTTCCATGTGGTGGGAAAGTAGTAGAAAGCACACTTAGTCTCCAAGCAGGTTTACACAGGGTGCTGAGACATTACCTGTGAACAGGTGATTTTGATGAGACAAGGCCGTGTGCTGTAGAATTAAGAAGGAGAGATGGAGGTCACTGTAGGCCGAGTGGTTAGGGAGGGCTTAGTGAGGGGGCGGGATTTGAGCCGGGTGTTAAAGGATGAGTAGCATTCAGATAGGAAAATAGGAATCAGGCCCAGTGATCCTATGGAGTTAGTGAATAGACCAGTCTCCTGGCAGAGAAGGGTTCATATAGGAGGGGGGAAGTAGGAGGAGAGGTGGTTCGGGGCTAGTTCCTCAAAGAACTTGAACACTGGGTCAAAGTTGAAACTATGCTGAAGGCATCAGTGAAGAAGCTAGAGGCCGGGAGATCAGCTAGGAGGCCATGGCAGTTAGACCACTGTTCAAAGCTGAGTGGTGTCCTCTTGCCTGCCACGGTGTGTCCAGCCGCCGCCCACCCTGTCTTTTCAAGACTCTGTGGTTTGGCCCCACCCCACCTACCTGAACCTTATTATCTGCTTCTCCAAGTCTGTCTCCTGCAGAACTGAATGAGTTACTGCTGCTTGGGCTTTGCTTCTGTTGTTCCCCCTTCTGAAGCATTGGCCTCCTTTTTCTTTTATGTGCAAATTCTCCATTTCACTTCCTTCAAGCCCCTGCTGAAGATACACTTCCTCCAGAGGGTGTTCCCTGACTGCCCTGCCCCCATGGCTTTGTGGCACTCAGATTCAGCACTTGTTTCTTGGCTGTTGAACTTGTTCTTGTCCCAGCTGGAGTGGGAGTTTTTTTGAGGGCGTTGTGTCTTAATACTTCTCTCGGAGCCCTTACAGTATCTAATACTGGGGCTGGACTTTCATAATAGGTACTCAAATACTTCCTGATTTTTGTTGGCAAACAACTTTTTTTTTGTTTGTATTGTAATTTACCTTTTTTTTTTTTTTTTTTTAAAGGAGAATTTCATCAGCTTTCTGTGTCATGTGTAAGTGATAGGACGTAATGCTGCCATTCAAGGTGGATGTTTTCAGCTTTCTTAGGGTGCAGAAAGCACAAAACGAATCTTTGAAACTTTAAAACATTTACCTCTGATCTTGAGAAAAGAGGAAAGTCATGTGATTCTTCATTCAGAGGCTGTGGGGAAAGAACAGCATTGGAATCAGACAGACCTGGGTTTGAATCCTAGCAGATGTACACCAACTCTGTGAACTGGAGCAATTTCTCTCGTGTCTCTGAGCCTCCATTTTCTTATTTGCAGTGTGGATGATAATAAAATCCATTTCATAGGGTTACTGTGAACTGTAAACAAAAATGGTATATGGACGAAGTAGCAAAATTTGCAGCACGTAACTGCTTAGTACATTTTCATTATTATTGTTGTCATTATTGGGTGTACATTTATCAGGGTGGAGAAATGATAAGCCCCTGAACTGTGATCCACTGAGCTTTGGATTTCTGCATGTCTCTATATTTCCCACCTTTTGCCTTCTATTTGAAGCATTTGTCTAAAATGTCAGTATTATGAATCTAGGATGCCATCATTACGTTTTATTCCCACTAATGTTCATGTTGCTTTAGTTTAAATTCTACCTAATGTTTTTCAAACTTCTTAATTGTGTCTATTTAATGTTTTGTAGCTGACAAACTGCTGAATTTAGCTTAGTGAAGGTCATCAACTGAATGCAGTTAAATTTCTAATGGTTGTTTTCTGGTTGATGTTGATGGCAAGGAAAACCTCTTGGAAGAATGCAAGTCAAGGTGAGCTTTTCTAATCCTTTTGTCATAAGAGGCAGGATTTAGTGTATTTTCCAGGGCCATTGCCCCTGAAATGCTAGCCAGTAGTAAGCAGATAAGACGCTGTGCCTTAATGTTTTTGAGTTCTCTGCCTTAAGAAAGCTTATTCTTTTATCTCAAACAAATCCTTCCAATCAACGATTAAAATAAGAAACATATTTTTGCCGCCTTCACTGACAGAAGTAAAAAGAATGGGCATTTTGCAAAGAAATGGCTGCAAAGCACTTGGAGTACAACATATTGTGACCCCTTAATCATCACTGTGTCAGACCCAGCCTGACTTTGTGTGGTGGAACATCCTTAAATGAGAGTTCTCTTTCTACTCGGAGTTGATCAGTAAGAATCCAGCACCAGTAAAAATACTACATCTCACCAGTATGCCTGGATTAAAATCTTTTTCTTATAAGAGATAAGAGTTCTGAGTCAGAGACTGACAAATCTAGGTCCAAATCCTGGCTCAGCCAGTCGTTAGCTGAGTGACCCTGGCTAAGTTTCTCAGTCTCTGACTTTGCTTCCTCATCTGTAGAATGGGGAGAAATGCAGCCTCTTAGTGTTCTCTAAGAACTCACTTAGCATACTGTACACAGTAGGAGCTCACTGATGGTTAGTCCTTGTCATTGTTAGAAAAATTAAAGAGGCCATTCCACTCCTGCTTGGAAAGCTCAGAAGAAGCTTCTGATGATGTTTTTGCATTGACTAAAAGACAAATCGCACCCTCTTGGAATTAGTGTATCTGAGCAGACCTGGAGAATGTTAACGCCTTGGTAGGAAATGTAACAGTTTGGATAAAAATGTTCTTTCAGGCTCACATGAATTAATGCAGTAAGAACTCTAAACTTGTTTTCTTTTAAATTAGGATGAGTGCTTCATGAATATCCATCACAGAATGCCATTTTATTTATTTTTTTTTCTTGCTTTGGGTTTCAGTAGCACCAGAATGTTTCACGCAGCCCTGGTGCTATTTGACTACTGCTTTCTAAAAGATTAGATTGTAGCTCATGACAGCTCAATTTTGGTTTTAATCTAGACCCAGGCAGAAATACCTAGAAAAGTTATTTTTGTGTGGTTGTTACTTCTGTTACCATGCCTTTGTCTCCAGTGCTTCAATCTGTGGTCTTTTAAATGACTTCATATAAGAATGAAAATTAGGGATTTTCAGGTTTCCAGTGTCTGACAGAGAAAGCCTAGTTTGAGCTGTGTCTCAGGTATCAGCCAGTGACTGAAGCCAGCAGGTGCAAATCTGGGTTTGGAATCATGAGCATCTTGATTGAGAATAATGGGTACCTCCTGGTGCCTTAAACAACTTCCAAATTTGTGACTTTCCTTTCTTTTCTTGGAAGTGTAACTGGATATTTTTAAACAAAGTGTAGCATCTTGTGGCGCAGATTAGAGCGTTTATGGGTTAGGTTGGAATAAGCCACCTTGCTAGGTTTTGCGGTTGGCAGAGACTATCTTGCATCTCTGGGGTCTTCAGAAGAAGTTGAGCACGGAGAATGCAGCTATAGTGGCAGTCCAGGGCTTTTGAGCCACCAGCTTGGTTTAGCTGACATGTACTAAGAGCCTGTCTGTACCAGACACACTGCTGGGCTCTGGGCACACAGTCCCTGCCTCAGAGAGCCCACCACCAAGAGTGGCAGCCCAGCAGCACGGAGTCTCACAGAATCAGCACACTTCTAGTTGTTTAGCCTTTACATTTTTACTTTTGTTCTGGTTGTTGATATGCAGAGACAGTTCCAAGACTTCACCCAAGAATGTTGTAGAGAAGATTTTATGGCCCAGGTGGGTGTTTTGCCCCGATGGCATCTGAGAGTCCTTTCTTATTTTTTGGTTCTCTGCAGAATGGGTCAGCAGTGTGAGAGGATGTCATTAGTTTTCCATTGTTTAGTTTCCTCATAGCTCAACAGAATATGTGGTGCAGAATTTTATTTAAAGATAGTAGCCAGTGGGGCTGGGCATGGTGGCTCATGC